ACTTTGTAATGATTTTAAAAAGTGATGCATAAAAAAAATGTTTTTTTTTTTTTTTTTTTACATACATAAAAAAGATTTTACACTCTGTTTTATGTACCAATAAATGTATTATTGTTTCAAGGTTTAAATTAGGTGGGGTGAGAGCCACGTAAACATAAGAAAACAAAATGGATGCAGATGACTTCTTATCTGGGAGTCTACTTGGACATACTAAAGCTCATAATGATCGTCTTAAGGCTTGGGATGAAGGGATCACAGAGCTTGAGAGTAAGTCTGTTTTTGAAATGAGTTTTTTTCTTTATTGGCTAAAAGTGTGCTTTTTTATGAACTTTTTTCTCAAATGTTTAAAATATTTTATCACATATCTCCTGTAATTTAGATTTCTGTGTTTAGCATTAATATGTTAAATTACGATGATGCAACTTTGAAGTAGAGATTAGTAGCATTATAAACTTAGAATTAACTAACTAAAATTAATGTTAAGTACTGATAATTCTGTGTAGAGGGTGGTTTTGTATTTTTATAAAAATATAATTATTTAAAATTTAAACAGTTAAGCTTGTATCGTAAGCTCAAGTATTTTGAGTCGTTGCAGTATTTGGTTATATATATGTATTAACTGACCTTGCTGTAAAACATTTAGATAGGTCTCATATGTAGTAAAATCTTCTAGAATATCTCAAATATAATCTTTGTTATTATATTAGAATGAAAATAAGTTTGAAATTATTCAAAGAAAAATATATCTATGAAGTTCATCAAGTATGGATCCACACCTTATTTAGAAGTGGATAAGGTGATCCTTCTAAACGATTTTTTAGTTAATAATATAACACTATGATTTTAGATGTAGAATTTCCCTCCCTAAGTACTGATCATCTTTTTGGCTACCAGTGGGCTTAATTTCACAATATTGGTCATTTTTAGAATGATTGCAAGGCTGCATCACATGCTAGGACAATACATGAAAGTAACTAAATCACAAAAAATTGGGGGAAACTCCATGAAAGACTTTGCAGATGGTGGCACTTGTATAACTTTATCACAACAGTGGAAAATAAAATAATATTCTCAGTCTATCCCTCTTTATGTGAGTCAGTGTTGAACTTTTATCTTGAACACAAGTTACAAATTTTACCTTTATTAGATTTAAGAATGTATATGTTTCTCTTAATTATATATAGAATTATTGGAGGCAGCTAGAAAACACCAATCTGATCAACCACTGAAAACAGAAGTAACATTAGGATCTCTTTCTTTATCAATTTCACCGGCATCAACGGGTGTAACATCATCTTATAGTAAACATACCAAAGACTTAGTGAAGGAAAAGAGTACAATTCAAAGCAAAGATCCATCTTTTAGTAAAATAAAATCAGTTGATGTATCAGAAACTTCAACAAAGAAAATAAAGTTATCTTCAGATGAAACTAGCACAAAGGAAGTCATTTCATCTGCAAGTGCAGAAAACAACGGTACAGAGAAAACTGAAAATTGCCAAAATGAGAAAAATAAGTTAGCAGTGGAAAGTTGTGATAATAACACCAGTGAATCTGACACTGAAAGCACTGCCAGTAGTAGTACTCATTCTTCTGAGGATAAAAACATTGAAAACACTGATCAAAGTTTGGATAGTGACTCTGATTACAATGAAGTTGAACACAGAAAGAAAAAAGTCACAGAAAAAAAGAAAAAAAAGAATCCTTTCCAAAGAAGGGAAATCAGGTAATATTCAAATTTCTATTAGTTTAAACATACACGTGTGTTCCAATAACAAAGATGAGATTGTGATCTAATTCTTTAAAAGTTGCCTTCATTAACTACGAGCCAATGGCTAAAATTTAATGTTTTAATTGTTGTTTATTTTTTGTCATTGTAATAACAGAATGTAAACAAGTTATGTATGTATCAGTTTTATAACCTGCAAGTTCATATTTTATTCATTCTATCGCTAGAACAGTGTTATGTATTGTCAGTCTCATATAGAGAATTGTATTTATAAGTTTTTTGTACAAGTGTTAGTAAACACTGTATAATGTTATGAGATTTAAGCTATTTAGCCTAAACATTTATGGTTTCGTTTTATAATTTGTGTTCATTCTAGAATGAAAGAGGCATAATTTATGTTTATTTCCTTTTTTTTTATGGTGGTTGTGAGATTGGTCAAATTTACCAAACCCGTACAGAGATTAATTACTGAAAATAACATAATATAAAAAGTTTTTTCTTAGAAATGTTTGATAACTATCTGGACATTATAAAGATTTCCCATGTGAAATTTCAAAATTTTCTGATGCATAAAAGCATTTTTAATTTTACGATGAAAATTACTTTGTATGATAGATAGGCAACATACAAAAAGAAAAAAAAAGGTAATGAGAGAAGCTTTGCTTTACAAACCTTAAGACTTAATAAAAAAAACTAGATATTTTGCATATGAAAGTATTGTAATGTTTACTGATAAATTGTCAAATTTCATTAACATT